GGGAAAGCGCACACCGCAAATTACCGGTTGTTTTGTCTCCTGCTGGACGCTCCGTGAGGCTGCTTTCTCGTACCCTGTTTGCTGGTCTCCGATAGGAGTCCAAGATGGTGGATCCGTGCTGCCGTAGCTGATAGGGGACCTCTTCATGAATCTCTCCTCGCTCTCCGTAGCTGATAGGGGACCTCTTCATGAATCTCTCCTCGCTCTCCATTCTCTGTCAGTTTTCTCACTCCATTTGGTGCTTTGCTGAGTTCTTTATCTCTTCATTTGATGTTTCAGGGTTTCAGGATTGTTGTATTCTCTGTTTGGCTTAGTTTTTCGGATCTTTGCTGTGGAGGGATGGTGTGGTGCTTCTGCCTAGAGCGCCATTTTGCCGGAACCTCCCTCAACATCGTTTTGAGGGCTGAGATGGAGGCCAATTCTGGCTGCAGGGCCACTCAGCCTTGTGGTGTCTCTCCCTCTTCTGCTGCAGAGGCTGCTCATCCAGCAGCTGCCCCACCAGCTCCCAGCCTGAATCAGAAATGGAAGACATGGAGGAGAAAGCAGGACTCCCTGGGCCTGCTGGCTGTCCTGGAACATCCTGGAGTGGCCACCCCTAGTGATCCTGTGTGTGGGAGGAAGCCCAGCTCACCAGGCCCCCTCTTCTCCTCATTACCACCGCCCCTCCCAGGCACATTGTCATACTCGCTGCCCTCAGCGCCTTTCACTTGCTGACCCCTGCTCCCACCACATTATCAGACACACAGAGGACTGACCTGTCCTCTGGGCCCCCAATCCCTTCCGTGCCTGCTCTCTCTCCACCAGGTCTGGACGCCAAAATGGGGAGCCCACCTCCTCACCTGCCTGATCCTGCAGCTGCCCTCTCCACTGCTCCCAGCACCTTCAGGATGGAGTCTCCTATACCCATGAGTTTAGATTCTCCTGTCTCCTTCTTGGGGAACCCCTATTCAACCAGGAATCCTAGTGCTCATCTCTCCCGCAGCCTGACAATTGCTGGTTCTTCACTCAGCGCTAGCTCCTCAGCCAGCACATCTACAGGCTTGGCCCCCCCACCTGCTCCTGATGTTGGGGTCATCCCCACGGACATCTGTCTGCCCTCCCAGACTCTCTCTCTGGGGCCTCCACTGGACATGAGCAGGTCCTTCCCATCTGCCCAAGTCTTGCAGATACCCCCCAGTGGCAGCACTGCCTCAGCCAGACACTAGCAGCCCACCTGCACTGAGATTCTGCAGCCCCAGTACAACACTGAACTTTCCTTTTACACTGGAGCCACCGCCAGGCCAATATTTGGGGACCCTGATGGGCAGCAGCATGGAGCTACCACCTCAAACAGTTCCCTCCAGACTGGAATCCTAGCAGATCCAGCCTCAGCCTCAGGCTCAAGCTCCACTCCAGGTCAGCCAGTGGACAGAGGCTGTGGCTGCTGCATTGGTGGGGCCTCCAGAGCCTGCTGCTGCTATTGTTGCCACTGGTGCTGTAGCTGCAGCTGTGCCATCCGCTGCAGCTGCTGCTGCACCTAGGCAGAGAACAAACCACTTGGTCAGCCCCCTCGCCCCAGGGGTGCCAGCTGCCCTGTGGTGACCATGCTCTCAGGAAGCCCAGGTAGACACTGGCACAACCTGTAATGGAGCCTGCCTTGGATGACCTCTCAAACGGGGAGGGAAAGGGATGAGCCGCTCACAGAGGGGCTCTAGGCCCCTGAGGCTGATGCTGTGGACACACAGTGTGCTTCTGTGCTCTGCCACCAGAGCCCCTCCACCTCTACACCTGGACAGCATGAAACAAGGGTAAATGGAAGCATCTAGGTGTTTAGGTATAGGGTACTAGAGAACAGGTGCAGCTGCAGAAGCAACAACAAGAGCTTGAGTAACTGCAGACTTCTAAAGCCTTCTCCAGTGATGCCTGTCTGTGCCTCAAGCGGTCAGCAGTACAAGCCTCATGAAGACGGCCAACGTCTGCTTTCAGGAAGCAAAGGAAAGGTGGGATCTGAAGGTCCACTGTCAGTTCTGAGAGTGAGGACCACCAAGACCCAGAGGAAGGTGGCATCTGGGGGAGGCAGGACAAGCAAGCTAAGGCCTGGAGGGGCCAGGGGATGGGGAAGCCATGTCACCTAACAACAGATGTTGAACATGTCTAGATTGTGACTGCAAACTATGAGGAAGAAAAACTGTTCATACGGAGCTTCTAACGTGACATGCCACTCCCCTGCAAAACACCAGCTGGAAGTCGATTATACTGTGGCCAGATGCTCAAACACTCAGAGGCAGAGCAGGAGGCATGCAAGTCCTCAAAAGGAATGCCACCAACAGAGGGGACAAGCATTCCACATCTAGGAATGTTCTTCTCACATCTTGCTTTGGCTAGCTCTTCTATGGGTCACTTCCACCCAGAAGCCTCCACTGATTCAGCGCCTCAACACCTAGTAGCCTGTGCAGACACCCTGCACCTGACTGAGGCCCTCCTTCACACTCTGCTCATAAGCCTTCTCCTTGCCATCCCAAGACCTCGTGGAGCCAATGGAGGGGGGCTGGCATCACGTGGGCTCTGGGCCTCTGCACCTAGCGCCTTGGCAACCAGTGGCCAGGATTTGCAGACAATAGGAGGAAGGCAGAGTGTGGGAAGAGGGAGCCTGGTACCTGTTGCTGGTTCTGATGGTGCAGTTTAATCAGGTGCTGCTGCTGTGGCTGCTGCTGCACGACTGCCTGAAACTGTTGCCGCATGGTGCTTTGCTGTGCCTGGAACTGCTGCTGCTGCTGCAGTGCTGCCAGGTGTTGCTGGAACTGCCAGAGCTGCAGCTGGGCTGGAGATGGAAACTCAGAGCCAGGTGCATGTAAGTGGATTCAGGGCATTCTCAAGAATCCAGAGGGCCATACAGCAATGGATGCAACAAAAAGCAAAGGTCCATGGCCATCATTGCCATGAAGGCAGGGAGGACATTCAGACGGAGCCCACTGCCTGGACGACTGCAGGCCACAGGTCTATACTCGCTAGTTTTAACACGCCATTTACTACAGAGACACAGATATGATGGGAAGTAGCATTTGTGTTGATTACAGTACTTACTACTATAAATTACTCTGTAACAGCCAAAGAGTAAAGAAAAAAGTCAACTAAGTGTGTTGGACAGACCAGAGGCCTGGCCCTAGGGTATAGGTTCCCCAGTTATGGACATTCTCTGTAAATGGAATCATATAATATACGGTCCTTTGTGACTGGCTTCTGTCACTCAGCATAATATCTTCAAGGTTCATCCACATTGTAGCATGTATCAGCATTTCATTCCTTTGTACTACTGATTAGTATTCTATTGTATCGATATACCACATTTGGATGGATATTTGTGTCATTTCTATTTTTTGGTGATTATAAATAATGCAGTCATGCACAAGTTTTTGTGCAGTGGAGTTTTTTTGGGGGTAATGAAATGTTCTAAAACTGACTGGGGCAATGACTGCACAACACTGTGAATATCTTAAAAATCATGAATTGTGTACTTTAAATGGGTGAATTGTATGGTATGTGAATGGTATTTCAATAAAGGTGTTTGAAACAGCCAAAACAATCTTGAAAACGAAGAACAAAGTAGGAGGACTCATACTTTCAATTTCAAAACATACTATAAATAGTTTGGTACTGGTAAAAGGATATAGACATAGAGACAAACAGAACAGAGTTGAGAATCCTGAAATAAACCCATACATCCATGGACAAATGGACACAAGGGTGTTAAGTCCATTCAATGGAGGAAGAATAGTCTCTTCAGTAAATGGTTCTGGGACAACTACATCTCCGCGTGGAAAAGAATGAAGCTGAACCCCTACCTCACACCATATATGAAAACTAACTCAAAATGGATCAGTGACCTAAATATAAGGATTAAAACAATAAAACTTTTAAAAGAAAACATAGGGGTAAAGCTTCAAGACCTTGCTTTTAACAATGAATTCTTAGATATGACACCAAGAACACAAGCAGCAAAAGAAAAGATAAATTGGACTTCATCAAAATTAAAAACTTTTTGTGCATCAAATGACATTATCAAGAGAGTGAAAAGGAGAGACTTCCAGGCAACATGGCACTATAGTCAGAAGCACCACTCCATCCTTCCGCAGCAAAGATCAGAAAAACTAAGTCAAACGGAGTCGCACGGCAATCCTGAAACCCTAAGCATCAAATGAAGAAATAAAGAACTCAGCCAAGCACCAAATGAAATAAGAAACTAACCAAGAACAGAGAGTGAGGAGTGATACATGCAGAGGTCCCCTATCAGCTACGGCAGCACGGATCCGCCATCTTGCACTCCTATAGGAGATCAGTGAACAGGGGGTACGAGAAAGCAGCTTCACGGAGCTTCCAGCAGGAGACAGAACAACTGGTAACCAGCGATACACACTTTCCCACCCCCTCCCTTCTTCACCCGCACTTAGCCTCCTCTGCTTCCTGCAGCCACTGTCCCTTGGCTGGGAAGCAACAGCTTCACCCTGGTGTCACTTGGATTCCACCTGCCCACACTGGCTGGCTCCCTGAGTGCCTTCTGTTGGCTGCTGGTGTTGCTTTTTTCTGCTTCTCTAGATTTCCTTCTTACCTCTCACCACCTCCCCCTCCATTCTCTCAAATACCTGGCTCTGTGTGCCATCTTTGCTTCTTCCTGAAAGGCTGTGAAACACCACTGACTGTGAAACTGCTTCCCGGCCTGTGTCACCGTGCTGGTGGGACCCCCAGGGCTTGTTTGTTTGCTCTGATTTGTTCTGATTTGATTTGTTTGCTTGTTTTCTTTTTCTTTTCTTGGCTTGAGAGGCCCTTCTAGTCAGACAGTACCTCGTAACTTGGAAGCTACTCCCTTACTCTGCTCAGATGCACAAGGACATCCCTGAGGACAATTCTTTTTTCTGTTTTTTGTTTGTTTGTTTGTTTTCTTGTTTTGTTTTCTTTTCTCTCTTATTCCCTTTTTGTCTTTCTTCATTTCCAGTTTCTCGATTTATTCTTTTTTTTTCTTTTATCCTTTTTCTTTTTTTTTTTCATTTTTGTTTTTCCCCATTTCTCAGTCACTCATCTCTCCACTCCAATAGCAAGCTCCCTTAGCATTCTTTTTCGGTTTTGTTTATGTTTTTGGCTCCTGCTCCTCTCGCTCATCTTTCCCGTACCCATCTTAGCTCCACACATCACAATCTACTCCCTCCTTTCTGCCTACCTGCACCATGTGCTAAACATCACACTCCCAAGCAGGGCAGGCATGGCCTACTGGAACCTGCCCTGCAATGATTCCCGGTCTGCACTGTCAGCCCTGGTACGTGCCACAAACAACCCATCCCAGCAACTCCCCTTCAGCTGGACCTGCCCTGCTGTACCATACCTGAGTGACTGACCCTGCCTTTTGGAGAAGGAGGTGAAAAGTATCGTGCCCACAGACGAGCACACGACAAAGAATGCACACATAGCCTGCTCAGACATAAACAAATAAATCAAAAAAGCAGGTCAAAACAAATCTACAATCAGTAAATGATGAAAATAACCACTGAATGCCCCCAAAGATAGCAGACAATATCAAAACATTTACAAAAACAGGACAGGATGGTTCCAGTAGGCATCCAAAATAAAACACCAGATGACCTTCCAGTAGAAGAAAAGGCACTAGACCTAACTGATACAGAATTCAAATCTCTAATATTCAGAATTATCCAAGTGTTTAAGCAAAAAGCAGACAAAAATGAGGAAAAAATAGACAAAGTCATGGAAAAGGCAGACAAATTCATAGAAAGTACAGACAAAAAAAATGGAAGAATTCAAGAAAATAATATAGGAACAAAATTCTAAAATAAATTCACAACTAGAAATCATACAAAAACAACAATTAGAAATCCAAAAGATAAACAACAAGATTTCAGAAATGGACAGTGTCACAGAAGGGCTGAGGAACAGGTTTGAAATGATGGAAGACAGGATCAGCGAAATTGAAGACATACACTTGGATACAACTCTGTTTGAGGAAAAATCAGAAACAAGAACAAAGAAAAATGAAGAGACCCTGAGAATTATGTGGGATACAATCAAAAGCAAAAATCTGCGAGTGATCACAGTTCCAGAACAGGGGGAGAAAACACAGAGAGGATCATTGAAGAACTGCTGACAGAAAACTTCCCCAATATCATGAAAGATGAAAAGCTG